TCTTTCTTTCTTTCTTTCTTTCTTTCTTTCTTTCTTTCTTTCTTTCTGACAAACTTGTCTTTTTCTCTTCCGCAAGATTGGAAGATATTAGTGATGATCAGTTACAAATAGGGTGGGACACCTTGATTGTTAAGTTAATGAGAAATTGCACCTTGCAACCCTTTTTTTTTAATTCTCCCACAATGAAACTTTACTATTGGATACTCCAAAAACTGATATTTAGAATCCTGAACTTGGGGAGACGGTGTCATGGGTGGGGTGGGGGGACAGGATGGAACCAACAGAACCCTTTGGTCTCTGGCTTGCATTATGTCCTCTATGTTTCAAGACATTTGGTGCCTCAATATTCTTCTGTGTGGTCAGGGGTCTTTTTTTTTTTAAATATCAGTACAGTAATTATGTCTATTGGGAGCCGAGCTGCAAGATTTACTGAGAATAATTTAGCATTCTCCCAATATTGCAGCAGAGGCTGGTGAAGCAATTATTGCAAGGAGCAAAGCCGGGAGTGTTATTTGTTGACTTTTTGTGAATTAGTGCAGATTTTCCTGGGGGTTGGGAAATCTGTGCCTATTCAGAAATGTCTTAAAAGGGCAAATGCTCCTTGAAGTTAATGGATTTTAAATATATATATCTATATATATATATCTATATATATATATATATTCCTGGATAAAAACTTGTCACTTTAGCATGTAGAGTCTGTTCTCTTACAGTGATTCTAAAAACCTTCTGAAAATTGTACAATATGTTATGTTTAAAAGAAAAAGTTATTTACTATCGACATTCCCCCACAAAACACATACCACAAAGCTGCTGTAAGAATTTTTTGTGTCAAGATGATTGAATAAAATTTCAAAACTTACAGAATTTAAAAATCTTTTGAATTGTGCCTTGAATCTTAATGGTGAATGCAGAATTTTTAACCCTTTTGCGCTTGGTTCAAATTGCCTCTTGGCGCTTAACAACAGATAATAGATTGAAATCCAGATTTTAAAGGAGTTTTAATCATAGTTCGTTTGGTAAGATTGTGAATAGTCATCATTGCTGCCTTCACCCAGTCACTTTAATCTGATCCATAAGAGGGAACCTATCATTTTTTGTGTCCGTTTTGTTTCAGAAAGGCTCCAAGACATTTCCCACGCTGCTGGGGAACAGGGATGTTAAGCAAATAAACTTCTTCAATTTGTATGTGGATATAGTAGGATTAATCATCAGGATAGCAGTTTGGATGGATCTCTTCATTTTATTTTGTGTGTCACATTTGTGTTACACAAAAGAAACAGCAACTCAACAATTCAACAACTAGGCTCAAGTAGTTGTAAGAGAGTGGCGTCCTCTTCCATATCCTTCAAAGCCATCATTTTGAGCCAGTTTTTTGACAGAGTATCTCCTATACCTATGAACAGAGAGAGGAAACCCACAGGTATTATTAATAACTCTTCCCACCACTTCATATTTATTAAGTGAGCTTCACTTTAGCCCAAGACAAAACAAGCCCTTCAATACTTGGGCTGGTAATTGAGGAAAGCACAGAAAGTTCTAAGGAGTGTCTCGGTTCATTAGAAATGTTTTCCCCTGTAGATTACCTCTAATCAAAATATATGACTTTTAATTACCAATGGCTCAGACTCAACATCCCCTTTGCTGTGATTCACTTGAATATTGTCTTTGACTAAAGCAGGGATGTCCAGCCTTGGCCAATTTAAGACCGACTCAGATTAGATCCTGCAACATTATCCTAGGACACATATATTTCCTTTTATTTACTTGAAGACCTGTGGAGTTCAACCCCCAGAATTATCCAGGCTGGAGAATTCTGGGGGTTGAAGTCCAGGTCTTAAAGTAGCCAAGGTTGGACACCACTGGACTAAAAGTTCCACTTAGACACTGATTGCTCCAGGGACAAGTCTGAACAACCCCTTTTTAAAATCATCAGTGAGTCAGCTTTGGCAACAACTTGGTGTTCAATAAAGTTAGCCAAATTTTATGGAAAGAAGCCATTTTGAAGTTGCTATATAACCTGTAGCAAGGAGACTGTCAGCGCTAAAGTCTCAAAATGGCCTCAGTCAGACCATCATAAAAAAAACCACCTACTTTGTGGAGGGTTAGTTTTGAAGGCCACACTTCTTGGGAACAGTCTATGGAGCATTGTAGACTGGACAGTAAATCAAGAAGAGCAAGATCAGCCTCTTCTATTTGGTCTGGGCAAAATAGGGCCTGGTTTGGCAGGTGCGACCACTTTCAAAGAGTGTTTTAAATTAGGTTCTGAATTTCATAGCCCTGATCTAAGAGGTGGTATTCTCTCAATAAAAAATGCTGATCTTAACTAAAGGGAATCTTTCTCAGTCTTGCCAACTTGAAGATACACGGACTTGAACTCCCAGAATTCCATATACAGGTAATCCTCAACTTTTGTTTTGTGACCGTTCAAAGTTACAACAGCACTGAAAAAAAGGTATTTATGACCACTTCTCACACAGCCATTGCAGCATCCCCATGGTTGCATAATCAAAATTTGGACACTTGTCAACTGGCATGTATTTATGATGGTTGCACTGTCCTGGGGTCACGTGATCACCATTTGTAATTTTCCAGACAACTTCCGTCATGCGAAGTTGAGCAAGATTCACTTAATGGCCATATGATTCACTTAATAACTGCAGTGATTTGCTTAAGTGTAGCAAAAAAGATCAAAGTGGGGCAAAACTCACTTAACTCTCTTGCTCAGCAAAAGAAATGTTGGGCTCATTTGTGCTTGTAAGTCAAGGATTACGTGTATCTGCAAGTTGCTATGGTTGAAAAACAAATGGACTTAAGGCATTTCTCTTTATCCCTGCTATGAGTAACCGAGTGTGTGGCCCATGAAATTAGATTCCAGCTTTCTTCAACCCTAGCTAGTGTAACAGTTGGGAATAATGTGAGCGATAGTCCATTATCATCTTCAGACTGTGTTAGGTGTACAGAATATTTGGAATTGTGGTAGGTAAGAATTGGAAGGGAATTTAGAGATCTTCTAGCCCAACTCTGTCCAGATTTGGAATTCATCTTTAACAAGATTTCAGACAGGTGGTTATCTAGCTTCTGATTAAAAATGTCCAGTGAGTGTGGTCTTCCCAAGTTGGCCTATTCCACTGTTAAGCAGCTGGGAAATCATTCCTGATATCCAACAAAGATCTACTTCCTCACAATTTAAAATTCTTCTGGAATAACTGAACAATTGGGCCCTAGAGGTTCTACATAACAACGGTTGAAATACAGTTAACATATCTCTTCGTTGTTTTCTCCAGGGAAAACATCCATTTCCAACCGTTCTTCCTATGTTTTCCTTCTTTACCTCTTCATTGCAAACCCTACACCCAGTAGCATAATGATGTTGCCTAGTTGGACAATGAAATGTCTGCAAACAAACAACCAAGGTTGAGAACTTTGTTACCTTCTAAAAAAAGATTCAACTTCTCAGTATCATTCCTAACATATCCTTCCTAAGATTTGGTTCCACATTAGTGAAGATTTGCAGATGTAGCCAGTCAAATGAAAGTAATCAAGTACAGTAAAGCAGCTTAAAGTAACTTAGTAATAGCATTGCCTAAAATAACATATCCCTGCTTACTTAAGAATCAGCAGTCTGATTTGAAACAGCTTTCCCCAAAACTGCCTTGCTAAAGATAATACTTTAAACATAAAATAATGTCAGGCACTGATAAAAGCACACATTTCACCTGCAATTATGTGGTTTGGATTTGGGATCAGCAAATTTGTAAACTCAGCTGTTGGCGTTTTACTCAAACCACAGTTAAGCAAATCATAATTTAGCAGGGTGTGGTCTCAAAATATCTGTATAAGTTGATGAACAGTTGAATCACTTTGGAGTTAGTTTTGGGTATGGGGGTTAAAGAGTCTCTCCTCTCCCCCATTTGTAGGGGAAACTAACTACATTGGTACACTGCATGTTAAACAATTACAAATTACAAATGGATCTCTGGACCTCTTGAACTCATTCTTTGTAGGAATTAAATCTTCATGCTCTTGAAACTTACTTGTAAAATTCAGGTTATCTGGGCTATAAAAAGGAGGAAATTAAAGTTAATGGTGTATTAGAGGAAGTTTGAAGAAGGATAAATGCAAACATCAAAGAAGGATATTTTCTGAACCAAGCATCACCTGCAACAGAATCCTATTCATCCAAAATCTCAAAAGCAAAAAAAAAAAGGGGGGGGAGATACTGTCCTCCAGAGGTGTCCACAAAGTTATTATTATAGAAGATGGTGTTATTGCATATAACTGACAGTTTCTTGGTCACACCATTGTCTTTTTGACTTTTGGGACTATGACCTGCAGGCATCCCTAATAGTGGTTCTTGTTTGCCCTCAGTAATTAGGAAAAAGTGTCCTAGATCAGTGTTTCTCAACCTTGGCAGCTTGGAGATGTATGGACTTCAACTTCCAGAATTCCCCAGCCAGCTACGTGCATAGCTGGTTAGGGAATTCTGGGAGTTGAAGTCCACATAACTTCAAGCTGCCACAGTTGAGAAATACTGTCCCTATATTATGGTCTTTAGTGGGCTATTGATCCAAATGATGCTGAAATATCTAACTGCAGTACGTAAGGCATTTGCAATGTTTCCAGAGCAACCAGCTAAGCTCCTCACCTCCCTGTCCCATACGGAAGAACTCCAGTCACCCAATGTGGAGGTGTCTTCGTGATTCTCTCTGCAATCCTTTCATTTTCTTTTTACCCTGAACAGCTTGGGATCATCAACAAACTTTTTCTCCTTTTGACCTCCTCCTAACTCCAAATGGGTTATCCACAAATTGAAAAACGGATCTGATCCCCAGTTTTTATGTCTCTCCAATTAAAAAAGTTATCCATTTATTCTGGAATTTCCTGTTGTCATAGACAAGTAATTGGGGGAAAATGTCTACCCCTTGTTCTAAAATATCATCACATTTTTGTCTTTACAAAGAGCCTTTGCTGAAGGATTTTGTTATATCCGGGCTTTCAAAGGGTCTCTTAACAAAGGGGCCTCTTCAATTTCTTCTGTGTACATGCTAGAATTTTCTGAGTTCATGTGACCCACCAAATCATAAACATATTAAGGCAATTACGCACAGTCCACAATTAGGTTGAAATTATGGCCGGCTAGTTTATAGTTCAAAGTGCAGTGCTGTTCTCTGAGGTGGGAGATTCAATCCCATTCATTTTGGAACAAGAAAAAAAAAACATCTCTCAAAACATTTCAAATGCTGCGCCAACAATGTGCAGAAACAGCAATTGTGCCCTTTCTAAATCTTTGGATGTGGCTGCCGGAGCCTTCCCAAAATTGTCACTCAATTGTGATGATTCATGTGACAAAACAGGACAATTACAAAAGCCATGAGGAGAAATTGTATTAACATTATACGTAGTTTGAATGGTTGCTTAACACATGTTCAGATTAAGGGTCCTTGGTGCTCTCCGAACTTAATTGTATCAATAAAGGAGAATATTGGTAGCCCAGGGTTGAAATTGAGGGGTCCTTGGTGCTCTCTGGGCTTGCGTTGTTTTCTTGCAGATGTTTCGTTACCCTAACTAGGTAACAGGGAGCTTAATTGTTGTCTTGCAAACATTTCACTGTGCTAGCACTTATCTAGTTTGGATAATGAAGCACCTACAAGAAAACAACCATGCTTAGAGAGTACTAAGGACCCCATAGTTCAACCTGAGCTACAAATATTCTCCTTTATATAACAATAGCAATAGCACTCAGACTTATATACTGCTTCACAGTGCTTTATAGCCTTTAAACAGTTTACAGAGTCAGCCTACTGTCCCCAACAATCTGGGTCCTCATTTTACCGACCTCGGAAGGATGGAAGGCCGAGTCAACCTTGAGCCTGGTGAGACCCAAACTGTCAAACTGCTGACAGCCGGTGATCAGCAGAAGTAGCCTGCAGTACTTGCATTCTATCGACTGCACCACTGCAGCTCTTATGTTCAGATGAAGTTTAAATCCAGTTTTCAGTTTGCATAGATAGTCTTAAACTTACAACCAATTGCTTTAACAACCATTCAAAGTTATGTTGGATCCTGAAAAAGCTATTACGATCCGGATTTGAAGTTCTGACATCCGTCCACAGTCTCCTGATCACATTTTGGGCACTCGGAAACCAGTCTGAATTTACAGATGTTTGCAGCATCCCATGATCTCGATTTATGACGTTTTTGTCAGAAACCAGGATTTATTTCTGGTTTCTGGCAAAAAAAAAAAAAAGGCCCCGTAGCGAACAATGGGTTGACTTAACAACTGCAGTGCTGGTTTAAAGACTGCTGCAAAAAAGGTAAAATTGAGCACGATAAAGTGGTGACCTATTTTATGACTGTCACGATTTACCAACAAAACTGCAGGCTCAGTTCCGGTTATAAGTGTACGAATACCTGCAATTGATTCTGCCTGGATTTTGGCCACTCGATGCCAGGACTGCATTAGGAATGGGCAAACTTTCAGGTAACAAAATAACACAGTTGGAAGGAAGCTTGAGAACTTCTAGTCCAACCCACTGCTGAAGTAGGAGACCCTGGCCTATACCATTTCAGAAAAATGTTGTCCAATCTCTTCCTAAAAATCTCCAGTGTTGGAGCACCAACAATTTTTGGAGGCAAGCCACTGCACTATTCATTGTTCTAACTATCAAAAGTTCTCCTTGGGTCTAGGTTGGTTCTCTTCTTGATTATTTCCTGCCCTGCCCTCAGGTTCTTTGGACAATAGGTTGACACACATACACACCTCTTCTTTGTGGCATCCCCTTCATGGGTCTTGAGTTTGTAGCTAGGCATTTCAGGAGAAGAACCATCATGATACGGTGCAACTGAATGTTGTGGGCATCAATCCTAGCCTGACCCAAATTTCCATTCCTTGCACCAATTATATGCAAATCAAAATACTTCTGACTGCCTCGTCTTGCTTGTGGTCAGTGTCAGGATTCCAGCAATCGCTCTAATTAAATCATGATTCTCGAGCCAAACTTCAAAAAACTTCAAAGGATTCATTACAGGCGACATACTGACACTGCCCTGTATAAAGCCAACTCTGGCATACATAATTTACAGTCCCCTGTGACCCTGTTCCCACAGATTCTCCAATTGAGCACATTCACAGGCTGGGTGTCATCATTCATGTTCTCCAATTAAATATATTCGTGGGCAAAATCTCTGGTATTTTAGTTACAATCTTTTAAAGATAAGAGTTGGAATGTACTTTCGCTTCCAAACTGCTGCACTGCTCTTCCAGCTTTCCTTCCTCCCCCCCCTCCCCCCCATTTTTTATGGCAACTACTAAAACAGGCATAGAAATGTTTTATGAGTTGACAGTATATCAAGTCACCCTCCCAGCTAGCTACTACTGAAGAGGCAGAACTAAATATTATGGGCCTTTTTCCTTGCAGGGAATGGGGTGGAGAGGGAATAAGGGTGGGAATGAGAGTGTTTTATTTAAGGAGGTTTTGCATTCATTCCTGCAAATCACTCCACCAATATTCAGCATTGGAATTTCAGCAACATGATTTTCAGGAGTCCATGTGACCCCAGGTTGCGTACCCCCACTAGGACAGCATTTGATTGGGCATACAGAACATGGAACAAGAATCTGATTGGACAAGAGGCAGTGCTACATACTTTCTACCAAATAACTTATTTTGTTTTATTATTTTTCAGTTTCAAGGCTGCTTGCCTCCGCATCAACCCTAGGTGGCTTACAATTAAAAATAAATAAAGGAGAATAGCACATATCTAAGATGATTGTTGGCACTGATGATGTTACCTAAGTGGGCAATGAAACATCTGCAGGAAAACCACCAAGCTCAGAGAGCACTAAGGACACCATATATCTAAAAGCCAGTTTGTCTAAAATGGGCAGCTATTGTGGGTGGATGGGTAGATGGATGGATGGATGGATGGAGATATATAGATAGATGATAGATGATAGACAGATGATAGATAGATGATAGATAGATAGATAGATAGATAGATAGATAGATAGATAGATAGATAGATAGAGATGGGTGAATGGATGGATGGATGGATGGATGGATGGATGGATGGATGGATGGATGGATGGATGGATGGATG